TGATGGGTGTGTTTGTGTAGGTGTGAATGCGTGTAAATAAATAGAAGTGTAAATAATCCATTTAAGATACGTGAGCGTGAAACATGTTCATATGACTAGCAAACTACGTTTTGACGGTGAAAATAGTGCTCTAGGAAAATTCATGTTTTGTTAACTATAGGTTTATATATCTTTATAACTAGGAAAAGCAGTTTTACTTCGCCATGTTTTAGCCCACTTAGTAAGTTCTTTTGTGAGCTACCTCGCCAGAGAGAGGATGGCTCTGGATAGAGAAGCGATAGCTTCAACAACAACAACAACAACAACAACAACAATAAAAATAATAATAATAATAATAATAATAATAATAATAATAAGAAGAAGAAGAAGAAGAAGAAGAAGAATAACAATGTTATAAGATGGTATTATATTTGCTGTTATTAATTAGTGTGCGTGCTACATTTTGAAAAACCATTTCGTGTGGCTTCGTTTAGCAGTTACTTAAGGCAAATAACTTTTTCCTACCTAAATTTATTTCAATTAATCTTGTAAATACAATTTTGTATTTACCTTTAAGAATTCATTTTTAAATTGAATGAAACAGGTTGTATTTTTATTTAAAAGTTCAGACAAAAGTTCGTTATTCATGAAAGAACGACTTAAACCAAGATATTTTGAGTCCTCTTACTTTGTAACTCTAATGTTTGTGTGATTTAGCCTCAAATTGTGAAAAATATTAGTGGTGTATACGTGCAGTTATATCCTTCGTATAGTCAAGAATGATCAAGTACAAAAGTTAACATAACTTATTTCTTCACAATTATTTATTTTCTATGTGTCACTCTAGATTTAAAACCCTGTCGACGTCCTACCGCAGAGTTGAGAGTTTTGAACTCCATTCACTAATGAATATCGTACACATGCTTCTACAATATCACAAACATCCCGAAACTAAACACATCACCACATTCACGATAAACCACGAATAGTGATTTCCCATTTACAATTACAGACAATGTTCTCTCTGAGAGATTTCGTTGTATATCATGTCTACTGCAGTGTCAAATCTTGGAAATGCCCATAAAGTTGCAGTACAGGCTGCGACCAAATCGGAAATTTACACGAAACACCTTCGATGGGAATCTAAGATTATCAGACAAAAACTGTAAAGTAATTATTATTTATGGCTAATATAAGGAAAACGTTTTAATTTCACCTGAAATGAGACACCCTGTATTTCTTCCGATTCCGCGTGCGAAGAGGTGCGAAGAGACGTGAGGAGCTGCCGAGATGAACGGACCGGCGCCGGGGGTGGCCGTGGAGGGCGCCGTGCTGGGCGCCACCGGCATGATGCCCGTGGGCGGGGCCATCAACGTCGGCGGCACCATGGGCACGGGCATCACCCTGGGCGGCACCATCAAGATGGGCGCCTCCGCCAACATGCCCATCATGGGCATCAACGGCTTCGGACGCATCGGCCGCCTCGTGCTGCGAGCCACGCTCGCCAAGGACGCCCGGGTAAAGCACTCACTTTCTCGCATTGTTCCTTACTTTTGCAATTTTCGGAAATTCAAGGAGATCATCCAAAATTAGACCTGCGCTATTTCGGACGCCATTTGTTCTATTCGTGACAAAACTTTAAAGAAAAAAAGTTATGTAATGCTGTGGAAAATCGATTTTGATACTTCAACAGAACGTGAATACGTTTTGGGATCCCCTGATACCGAGAAAGTGTTATTTTTAAAACATTCGCCAGTCTGTCGATCAGTCCGTCTTTCAGTAACATGTTTAGTGGTTTGTATGTGCGCCTCCTACAATCGTCACTGTAGATTCGACAACATTCTTCATTTTTCGTCTTAAATACGTTTGATATACCCCTGGGGAAAATTCCTTGTCCAGTAGTAGTACGTTTAGGGGTAATTTGTTAATGACATCTTAGATATTATATGAAATAATCTTCTTTCCTTGGCGAATTATATGTCACGTTGAGAACCAAAGATCGTATGCCATATTTTTCTTTTTTGTCTAGGAAATAAGGTTTAAAATTAACTCCATTAAATTAATAAATAAGTAATTTTACAAGCTGCTATTATTGTAAAATGAGTTTTCTTTAGCATTGGTTTTACTAAGAATATCATAGATGTTTCCTAGAAAATTGCAATAACTAAATATTGTAATAACGCATGTGCGTTTTTACAAGATACTCAAGAGAATGGAATAATTACAAGAAAATTGTATGCAAAGTAGTTATACGAATCATTTTATTCATTTTCCGAAATTATTCTGGCAAGTACTTCAGACTATATGGTGTAAACAATCACCATATCCAAATGATGCGCCAGCTAAGGTGAGGCATGACATCAATTGATGTCACTGCAGTGCCCCAGTTCTAGGGGTTCGAGTCAGTGACAGGATTTTCGACACTAAGTAGATACAAGCTAGGTATCTGGAGGCGAATTGTCGCGACCGGCTTCTCTGATCGGTAGTTTTCCGTGTTTTTTTTTTCGCTCAACACCAGACGAATGGCGGAGCGTACCCTAAAGGCGCGTTTACACGGAGAGAGTTTTCTCTCCTAACTTTCCGGAACTGGTTAGGAGACACGTGTAAACTCTCAGGAAAGGCGATCTCTCTCCGGAGACATGACGTCAGCATAGAGATTTTCGAAGTCTGAATCGCTAGGAGGCAGTGTAAAGGTCTCTGGTATCTGATGAGGATCGTATCTCTCTGGGAGATAAATAGTTATTCCAGAGAGAGTTTTGGAAGACTTTTTGCTCTCTTTGCAAGTGGTTTCGCACTGTGCTCGATTTAGCCTTTCTTGCGTCTGTTTGTGTTCTGTGCGGCCGTTCCAACCGTGATTCGGGTGAATTTCCGTTTCTTTGTGGATAATTATATACTGGGGAATTATAAATATCAAATGTGAATAAAATTACTGTATCTCCTGTGGCGCAAAAAAACCGCCGTAGCCGTCAAACCAAGTCTCTTTCCGAAATAATTATTTTTTCCAACTTTCCCTTGCTTTTTGCCCATTGCGTGAGATAGTTTGTCTTAATTAAACTAATTCAATCTCTTCTGAATTATACGAGTTTTTTTGTACATGACTACATTATGCGTTTATAATTTATTTTTATTACATCCTTCTAATAAATTAAAAACTTCAAATTACGGAACATTGTAAAATATTTCTTATATAAAACCATAATTAGGCCGCTTCTTCTTTATATGCCTGGCCGCTAGTTGTAATGCCTTCTCTAACAATAATTAACAAATTTCAAATAATTCAAAAATAATCCTCCTTCGCAACATTTTACATCTTTCCTAGTTTATATCAATAACACAATTTAGCAGATAACTTAAAATTGATTCTTTCAAATCGTTTATACTTAACTTCACTAAAAGTTTGCTAAACGCATTATCAACTTCCACCCAGATTTCAAACTTTTTTACATTAGGTCAAACCTATTTTACCCCTGCCTGGACTCCGACCACGTTTTCCAAATATAATTTTTAATCGTCCGTAAATTAAAACTTGTTTCATTTTATTGTTCTCTGAAAAGATGTTATGGCTTGAACAAGGTAGCAATAAGTATTTTTAAAAAAAATCATAAATCTTGCATTTCGCCGCATCAAAGTTTTAAAAAACTCAGTTCTTCTTTTCCTCAATAAGAACAAAAATCACTCACAACTGTCTCTTTCTTTTCCTCCGCTTCTTCAAATTGTGAAAGTGCCAACAGGCAGCTGAAACAGCTTGTCAGCATTCTAACGCTCAAGCTGCTCGCTGCTGGTTATTCAAGATGGCTGCGCCAGAAGACTGCGAGAGAATTTGTATCTAGTGTTAACAGGCAAGGAGAATACTTTTTCCGGAGATATCCTTCAGGAACTAACTCTCCGTGTGGTAGGGAGACTCGCGTTCGGGGAGATATTTTCGAACGCGTGTAAAGCCGTCCTGGAGAAGAGTTTATCTCCGTGACGTCATGAAGTTAGGAGACTTTGTCTCTTCGTGTAAACGCACCTTAAGAAACGGGCCACGAACTTTAAATAAAGGTGGGCTTTTGACATTTTGTTTTGAATCTCCAGACATAAATGTGATATTTCATTGCGTTCAAAACGTCATAAAGTTTAATTATTGTGACTTATTAGCAGAATTTTGTAATTACATACATACCACTTGCTTTATGAAATTTATTTAATATATTAATTGGTAATATAGGTAAATTTAATTAATAAATAGGAAATTTTATCATTACTATTATATTAAAGATTAATTACTACTATAGCATTTATTTTTGAAAATTTAACCAAATTTACCAAAACATACCAAGAAGCATTATGAAAAGTGATTAAGGTGGAGGAAAAATATTTTTTTAGTTTAAATTACAAAACTTCAAAACTTTGGAAATAATATTCGGATAGAGAAAATTGGAGTTTAATTATCCTTTGTTTTCCCTTACTCGCGCTTGAACAACTAAGATTTTCCGCTTTCTCATCGAAATTGTGAGCAATTTTGTTACTAATTATATGCTTTTAGAAAAGGAGAAGAAAATTATGCTTTTGATTTACAATTTTTTGATAAAGAAGCGTCATAGAACGTGTTTGATTTTTTGCAGTGATTTACTACGTTCTCTCAGAGATAATAATACCTTCGCATTTGCTTTCTGATGCAGGTTGTGTGCGTGAACGACCCGTTTCTAGACCCAGATTACATGGCCTACTTATTTAAGTACGATTCCACCCATGGTCCTTTTCCGGGGAGCGTGGAAAGTAAAGATGGTTTATTGTATATCAACGGTATGTGAATCGTCCAATCGTTTCCACTCCAATATTTTACATTTCACTTCTCCCTTATAGTTCCAACATGTTTCAAAATATGTATTGTCCACTACAACTGAAATCTTCAAAAAATAAACTAATTCACGTAAAATGCAGGCTTTCTCGGCCGGTTTCAACATAATTAGATGTTTCACATAAGACATTCGTCTTAATAACGAACTATTTGAAATTTATCATATGTAATACGAGTGCTTTGGAAATTGTCGATTAATTGCCGAGAGAGAGAGGATTTATCTGAGAGTTTTCAAAGCACAAGTGGTATTTAATAGGACTATTCCACAAGTGAAATTATGTCCAACAGAGTTCCAAAATGCACCAAATATTGAAAATAACTGAAAGCGTATGTTAAAATCAGAGGTTATGTTATAATACATACGCTGTTTATTGAACATCGACATAGCAATCCATGTATACCACCTGCTAAGATAGATGAGTCATAGTATATGATTGGCCAATAGTTAGAAGCGGTAAGAAAAATCGGATAGAAAAAACCATAAAATTTTTGAGATACACAGTCCTGATTGGGGCATTTTGTATGTATAGTTAAACACTATTCGTTTTGTTCCTTCACGTGTGGAATAGTCATAGTATTGTTTCTGGCCAGTTCTTGCATAATGGTTAAGATAATCCATCGTTATTTACTCATGCACGAAGCAGTTAATGCTCAATAAACTGATCCTTCCTTACTTGGCAATCCTGTGACCTGCGTTAGTCCGTCACTTACATTTAGACCTATTCCGACCGCCAGTCGAGACACACGAGGAGTTATTCGTCACGACTCTGTCTCCTGGTAGGAAACTTATCATTATTTTAGAATGAATTCAGAAAAGTCTAAGAAAGTTCTCTTAGACAAGTTTATTCCTTCCAGAATATTTTGGAAGAATTCTAGAAAAAAACACGTGTTTTTGATGGTTTCAATGCACCTACGAGAACACATGGGATTTTCTACATTTTTCCGTCATTTACAAGAAACTTTACAATTGTATTAATTATACATAATTAATACAATTTTAATGAAGCACTGCAATTAAATATAACTTTGTGACGAAGCAAAAAAGTTTAAACCACTTTAACAAGTATTTTAATCGATTCTTGTCATATTCAATACATTTTTATGAGCGAAAATAAACGAGTCGGCCAACTGTAATATGTTTAAAAATTATTTTTATTATTAACATGTAAAGTTCAAATAAAATTTCTTTACATGAAAATACACGCCGGTGTCTCCACGCTAAGCTAGAATTACTAATGTAATACAGTGTGTTCTTTGAATCATTAAATGCGCTCTGGTTCAAGGCATAAAATACAGCGGGAGGTAAATAAGAACAAGTTACACTACTGTGGTCGCGTTTGGAACAGTAGTGCTTCAGATGTTTTCTTTTGTTAGCCGATCACAACTGGTTTCAAACTTGAAAATTCAATCTTCTCCCTCTACTACTCCCTCTCTACTAAATTCCCCAGACTATTGCCAACATAGTTAATTTTTAACAGTATTAATAATTCTATATCTTGCCTAATTGGAAAACTTCCGAGATACAACTACCCATAGGAGTTTTAGAGGGTTAAATGTCATTTTATGTTCTTTTAGTGTGATATAAGTTAGTATTTCGAATTGTTGAATATCAGTTTTCACGTAACGTAAAACACGTAATGTTCAATGATTAACCTCCAAAATTTGTTATACATTTTTATGTAGTAGAGTACGAAATGAATGAAACTTATGTGTTTATTTTTCAGGCATGCCTATTGCTGTATATAACGAAAAAGATCCCAAGGCGATTCCATGGAATAAACATCAAGCATCCTACGTCGTGGAGTCCACTGGAGTGTTCACGGAAGCAGCCAAAGCGGCTGTAAGGCAGCAGATTCCTAATAGCATATGTCCTCATACTATATAGAAAATAATACATATTTAGTGCCCTATTCCCAAGTTTGGCTCTTTTCGTTTCTTCAAAATATTGTATTCTTTTAGCTTCATATCAAAACGGTTTTTCATTCGGTTTAAAATGATAGTTTTGAACCCATAAACGACCTCCGATGTGATCACTGAGGGGCTTAACTTTGGATACTTGAACATGCATTTATTATTTCACACCTATTTTCATTATCAACATGTTATTTTAAGTCTCTTTATAGGTTTTGTTTAAAGATTTGAATTAATAATCTCCCTTTAAGTTTGCGGTTCGTATATTAGTTTCAAAACTTTGAGTGTCAAAGTTCTGCTAGTTGTTTACTGTATTTCTACTCCATCTAGACCTACTCTCACTTTCAGCTGTTTATTTTAGAGTTTTTATTTGTTTTTTAGCTGTTGAAATGTTTCGAATTCCAGTTTTCAGGTTGAAAGTCACTAATTTTGAAAGATAGAAGATAGAAAGAAAGATCGTTTATAATGATGACACACACGTGTTTGGCTGAGACTTCTTAGATTGAACATTGTTTTTATTTCTGAATAGCAATATGAATAAAATTGTCGTATAAATGTGATATTTGAATATTGAAAACCCACAAAGTTATTTTCATTAAAATGAACATTTTAATACTCTTCAGCAAACCTATTTCAACCACGACAACTTGTGGTTTTATTTCACACTTTGTGTAAATACACACACTTCCCACATTCACACTAGATATACAATTAAACCCTTTGTGAATATTGCTAGGCGCATCTGGAAGGAGGCGCCAAGAAGGTGGTGATATCTGCGCCCAGTGCCGACGCTCCGACGTTTGTGGTGGGCGTCAACCTCGACATGTACACCCCGAACATGAACGTGGTCTCCAACGCGTCGTGCACCACCAATTGCCTGGCACCGCTCGCGAAGGTGGTAAACGAGAACTTCGGAATGATAGAAGGGCTTATGACCACCATTCACGCGACCACCGCAACGCAGAAGACCGTGGACGGCCCCAGCGGCAAGGTAAGAAATCACACTCAAATCGTCAGAAGGGGCTCAGCTATCTCAAGGGATATGCAACAAGAAACTGACTATATTTTCTTCGCGTGGAAAGTCCGTAAGTGTCACGGTTACCGAATCCTTGAGCATCCCCTAACGAGCCTGTAATGACGTCGAAAATTTTATTTGATACATTTTCACTATATTACAGTAGTATTTACAATAACGCTCACTAGTTCTTTGAGATACCTTATTGATGTGATATGTGTCTAAAATCTGTCACTCAGAGGGGGAGTGTGTTTGTTTGTGTGTGTGTGTGTGTGTGTGTGTACATGAGTTTTTTTCAGGTGGAAAAACAAATAACCGTCTTCTGCCCGATCATATGAACAAATGTTTCTGTCTTTTTGCTGATGAACGATCTTATTTTGCTTATCACTCTTCTAAAACGTCTAGAAGGTCGTCCTTTCGAAGGGCTGAGGATATTTTTTTAAGTATTTCCGAAGAAAAATATTTTTTTCGCAAACAAACGAAATAAACTAAACTCGTGAATTAAAGGAATTAGAGTGCATGTTGCGACATTTTTGCATCGGGCGCGGCCCTGCAAACCCGCCCAACCTCATCAGCCAGTCGTCAGAATTACAGTACACACGCTGTTTACATATTACTTCCAGAGACTTCGACAGTCCTTCGAGTCTTGGAAATATTCACAGAGTTCCGATGACATACGGCTGAGACAAAATTGGAAAAATACAAAAAACAGTTTCTACTTGAATCGACCCTTCTTTGGACAAAACGGCAAAGGAATTATGCAATATTACAAATATTATACGAAGCATGATGGTCTCTTATTTTCACATTTAATTTATCACTACATCTGTATATTTCTAACTGCACAATTTTGCCGCCTTGCGATGTACTTTTGGAGAGAAAAGGAGGAATTCATTCTCGATTCACTCAGGCGTAGCTTTATTCTTCGTTTGTCGATCAAAGCGGGACTAGTCACTTTTTATGCTAGAATAATTGACGATTACACAGTAAATGTAATATCTGATGGTATTATAGGTACCCATCAAATGTAATATAAGATCAACATTTTCAGACTGTAATGCACGAAATGTGAAATGTGTAATGATGACATAGTTTCTGAATGTAAATGTATAATGATTAAATAATTTCCTTGTGCTCATGTAGCTTCTGCAGCACACACAAGGACGTTCGAGTCTTGGACTGCACTGCACTTCGACTACGTTCTCAAATCAGCCTACCTGATCTTTTTTTCTCCACTGTGAAAATTTGAAATTTTAACTCATACTTTTATGTTTGTAATCATTAGGGCTCGGATAGTTATGCATTAAAAATGTAAAATATTTATGTAATTACGAGATTTTAAACAGCTATATTGCATTAATAGCGTAGAAAACATATACTATATAAAACATCATAAAAATTATGAAATTATCATAATTTGTTATTTTCTTCCGTTATATTTATCTAAATAGCAGTCTCCCAAAACAATACAAAAGTCAACTGACAAAACTCACCTGACTTAAGGACAGGAACTGTTGCTGAAAGCCACTGAATTTTTTTCCGTTACAGTGTATAACAGTCATCATGTTAAGGTTTGAAAATAGAAACTATTCTCTGTTGCTTTTCAAAATTGATTTGTACTGGGGGAAAAAACGTTCACGCTAACCAGATGTTATTGGTGCATATTTAAAGTTTGCTTCTTCTTCCAGCGGCTATATTTCTTCAATGTTTGACAATTTGCTCTCCGTTTTACCGGCAATATGTTGGATTTTACGATAATCCAGATTGTTTTCTAGTAGGTAGTTAATTTTTTTCTACAACAACCTTTGCAATTTCTCGTAACGCAAATTTCAGCTCCGGTAAGAGACATTTTTTACGCGTATTTGCTCTTTTTAAATGTAGTGTCACTTGGAAACCAGTACCCGCACTCATAGTTTTTTCACGCACAACACAAAATAACACAATCCCATCAGTAGTTAACACACATTCATATTCACGCACGTACAAACTGAGTTGAGTAGATAATGTTCTTCTCACTGGTGACATTTTTGCGAAAAAGCGAGCGCATTTGTTTAACCACAATACTACTTACGAATCAAGTTAAGTGGTATTAAGATAAGTGGTACCAAGACCGAAAAGTAACACCTGGGCACACCACGCTCACACTCAAAACTGAACTGTGATGCAGATGCTACAGTTAGTTTCAAACAGTATACTCTCTTTCTGTCCGCCCCTACTGCTTGTCCTCCGTTGCGCGCGCGAGGAACATACTAGTTTCTCTTGCCCTGAAGGTCTTGCCTATCAGTCTTTTTGAAGAGACTTTCCATCTTGGGGGAAATTTTCAGACCGACATTTCAATATATTACTAAAATTATAATCAGTTCCTAGTGGAAAGTATTGTTATTAACTTCTTATTTATTATTATTATTATTATTATTATTAATGCCATAGCTAGTAAAAAGTGGTAACTAAATCAATACAGTAATTACATTTTGTAAACATTTTCCTGTGAAAATAGCAAAATATGTATCATTCTAACAATATGCTCTAAATATTATGCAATTTTAAGACCAACAAAATTTGTAAAAAGAGGCACTATAACAATTGGATTTTTATAATGTGTGAACATTGCTAGGTGGACCTATTACAATTTGCAAATATTTAAATGTAATAGAAAAAATGTTATTACATAACTATGCCAGTCCTAGTGATCATGTAAAGTGTTCTTCAATTTGAATTTAGGCGGCCTTTTTAACTTTTAATTCTTCCTTCACGGTACGTTCAATTGACAGAACTGGCGCGACGGGAGAGGGGCCCAGCAGAACATCATCCCGGCTGCGACAGGCGCAGCGAAAGCGGTCACCAAGGTCATCCCCGCGCTGGAGGGCAAGCTGACGGGCATGGCCTTCCGAGTGCCGGTGCCCGACGTGTCCGTCGTCGACCTCACTTGCAGGTAGGGAAGGGTCAGACTCGCGAGACTAATTTCTCCCAAATCATCTGGAAGGCGGCGTCGGTTTAGAAATGATTCTCATTCATTTAACAGGCGTTGGCCAACTTGTGTCAGAGCTGAAGTACTTCCAATTACTGTTTAATAAATCTCTTTTAGTGTATTCTGGGCAAAAGTGTAGTCTTACCAATATTTTAAATATCATTAATTTGCTCTCCAGTTTTATGGATAACATCTTGGAAATTCTAAACAAGTACTGCGATACAATGAAGGCAGATACGGAAATCATGTAGTTTTTTCTGGCACACCTGTAACCCTGTGAAATTAATTTTTTACTAATTATTAAATCATTGGCAGGAAATAATTTAGTGAGGTTATAGACCAAGTACAGCTGCATTTTTTCCTGGTTAATGAAAATTGCAAGTTGTAACTTATTAACAATGAACGCATATTTTATTGTTGCACCTGTCACGCCCATAATTATTTGCCCACGAATCTTCGCAGGAAATATATGTCACTGCGAATAATAGAAGAGTCCGATCTCTGTTATCCACCGAGTGAGGTGGCTCAGGGCACCTATGATGTCATTGCAGTACCTCTGACCGGAAGGCCCTATGTTCGAGTCCCGACGGTGACAGGATTTTCGACACTAGCTAGAGAGCTAGATCGGATGTAGTTGCTGTCTGGAGAATAATTGTAGTGGCCGGCTGATCTGATAAGTCGTTTTCAGTGTTCTGTTCGAACAAAACCAGGCGACAGCCGGAGCAGTAACTAACAAACGGGCTACGGACCTCGCGCGATCTTTACTTTCTCGTCATTGTCCTATCCTCTACACCACTTACACTTACATACACTATTCTAGCGGACATGCTGAGAGACCGGTCGGAGGTTAGAGCAGATCCCGACAGGTGTGGTGCCCAGCTGATGGAAGATACCTGGTTAGGGAAAACCCCGCTAGCCAACAGGCATGTCGGCGCCGGGTCTCACTATCCAGGAAATACCACTGCCAGCTCCGGAGGACAAAGCATGCACTACACTTACGGGACTAATAATATTATCTATTGACGCGCCCCGAATCGCTAATCAATAAATCAATCCGTTATCCACAGTTTAATGTAGACTAAACACCAACCCACTATTCCGCCAACAGAAAAGGGGTGCTTCCCACATATTTCGTAGGAAATATAATGTATAATTTTTTTGGGATAGAAATGTGCTTTCTCTAAAAGTGGGCATTTCTGTCTTATTCAAAAATCTAGAAAAAACACGTTTTTCACAGATTTCAATTTTTTTCACAAAACTTAATGTGTTTGTAATTAGTATGACTGTTTTAGAGTTAGTGGAGTACGTGACATGTAGACTAGGAATTTTTAGGCTCTCAAAAGCACACCATTTTAGGCGCCTAAATTGGGCTCATAAAAGGTTGCACGAATTTTAAAGCGTCATAATAAATTAAATAAGCAGTATAAAATTATATTAAAATATCTTTCAGAATGAATTGTATTTTACTTCAAGTGTTTTATTGATACCTTAGCTGAACCCCTGGGTTTACATCGTCCAAAAGGAAAAGCGATAAAATGTTACTACAGAACAGTTCTGCATTTACGCACTATAAGGAAAATCAAGAACACAAAAATGTTTCATTTTGTTCAGTACATATTCTCGATATTCTGCTCCCCACCATAACTTAAAATGTAATGGATCACTTATAATTACGATCACTCAACATTTTTCTTAAAAGCACACGTGTCCGACGATTGCTGGACATTGTGGTTACGAAAACTCACTATTCTTTGCATTTAAAACTCGTCAGCATTTTAGACAATTTAAACATTTCTCCTATAACATCGCAAAGTCAAGTGTTTAAAATCAATTTCGAACGAATTCGTTAAATTAAACATTTGCTTCAAAATTCGATGTCTAATGATGAGTCGATGACGTGGTAGTACCTCCTGCGCAGCTCAGTCGAGCACTGGTTGAGCATTCAGAGGCGTCGCTACGTGTCTTGAGGCTCTGTTACAGTGTCCAAATGAGCCCCCTCACTGCGATTGACAACAGTGGTTTTAAACAGTCGTTATACGTACGTATTATTATAAAATAAATTTCACAACACGTAAACTATTTTGCATACGTAATAACTGGTTTCACAAATTTAAAGAATAACTATCAATCAATTATGTTCAAACAATTAGATATTAGTATTTTTATTAAAATTGTTGTCTAAAATATTAATCGTCCAATTATCGTTACAATTAATTCCCGGAAGAGGCAATGTCCCGACAAAAATTGTGTTGTGTCCGTAGAATAAAAAAAGGAAAAATACATAAATTGAAGAAAAGTCAGAGTTTGAATAATTTGATATTCTCCATTAATGTTTAATTAATAGTTTCATGAAGATGAGGAAATGGCGCAAAAGGAAATTAATCCCAACTGTAAGTATTGCAGTTCAATGGATTTTTAATTTTAAAATATGCAACGCACTTCAGGATAATCCTGAAATATGCAAAATTAAACTTCGAAATAAGGATAATTATAGGGACTCCAATTCGGTATCGGAACTTTAAACTTTTACGACTCAGGAGAAAAAACAAGCAATTGTGACTCCAAGACTTTCAATGGTCGGTCACTGTTTAATTCGAATTTAAAACTATAAAATGCGTGGACGACAGTGCCATCACCGAGATATCATTGAATATGTAATACGTAGTATTTGTAGTAGCTCTTGATTAATGTCATTGCCTATCGCACGTAGACGAGGATGAAATCATTCTCCATTTTAATCATTCTCCAAATTATTGTTCACAAACTTCCAAAACTGGCAACAAATGCATAATTCGTGAGAAAAGTCCATTAATCCATTCTTTATAGTTACTAGCTGACAAACTCGCCTAGTTTGTCAACGAAAACTTTACAAATTTGTTTTCAGAATATGGGCTCCGGTCGGTCGAGTTACTTAACAAACTGTCCAAAGAGTAAACACGCAGATGCGCTCTGTACAACCCAATCCATCCCCCACCTCAACCAGTCCTGCCACTCAGCTACATTCTTGTTTTCTTGGTTTTATTTATTTCCCTCTCATGCACTTGCAGCAATACGAAGGAATAACCTTAATTAAATATTCGGTTACAATATAATTTGTTTAAATTGTATATATTTTGGTGTACTTAGAATTGAAACAGGATCTTAGGTTCATTGGATGACGGCGGTGGTCGTAATTCGGAGGCAGGCTCGCACCAGTTGCACGAGGCACTGTTCGCATTTGTCCCAGTTGCTCGAGATCCTGTAACCATTTGCACCGGTTCCACAGGGCCTTATGACCATTTGTCCCGGTTGCACGAGGCCCTTGGACCATTTACACCGATTGCACAAGGCCCTGTAACCATCTTTCCGGTTACGATGCCATTTACACCGATTGCACGTGGCGCTGTGACCATTTTCACCGGTTGCACGAGAGCCTGTGACCATTGCTTGAATCTCCTTCCTCCCCCGCAGGCTGGCGCGCGAGGCCTCCTACGACGAGATCAAACTGCGCATTCGCGAGGCTGCGGAGGGCCCGCTGCTGGGCATCATGGGCTACACGGAGGAAGAGGTGGTGTCCAGCGACTTCTACAGCAGCACCTTCTCCTCGGTCTTCGACGCCAAGGCCGGGATGGCGCTCAACAGACAATTTGTCAAGCTTATCTCTTGGTACGACAGTATTCCGATTTGCACACTTTAAGGTGTAAACAAAATTGCCATTTTGGGCAAGGTTTTACTCTTTCTTCATATTCTTAAACTAATATGTCTGTTCCACTATTAAGAAACTGAAAAATTGAAAATGCACTTTTCGTGGCCAGATATGTCGTTAAAGTGACATATCTGGCACGAGTATGTGACAAGTCCCAATAGCAAGCCGAGATCAAATAAAATAGAAAACTAATACGGGAATGTCTGTGCCATTCTGTAGCAGCACTAATTTGCTTTTACTTTCCCGTATATGTACGTATATAATAAACATAGTATTTGGAATGTTATGTAATGCTCCGGAAAATTGATTTCAACATTTCAACGGAAACACACGTTTTCGAGTCCCCTGATACCAAAAAAGTGTTGTTGTTTTTTTCCAAAACGTCCGTCTGTTAGTCTGTGAACACCACTAGCGCCTAAACCACGCGTACTATTATTTCTAAAATGGATATTCCACGGTAGATCTGCCTTCACTCGAGACGCCGCGATTTTGAAAAGCTTTCTTCATAAGTTGGGGGTACTTTACAAAACGCCCCTGGACATTTTCCATATTTTCTCAAAAACGGCTCCAAATGTTTTCTTTAAATTTCTTGTAAAAATAAAGTAAAATACACTTATAAAGGTGGTATATGTTTGATTTTCAAGGTTAACTCTCAATTATCAACTTAACTCTCAATTTTGATATGTTGAACTTTTTTGGGCGGTTTCCTTCAACTACAAATTGGCGATAGAGATTTTTCCTCCAATAAAATTTGTTCTCCATAGTGAATTCTTTCAGAAGGTTCGTGTACTATTTTTTGAACATTTTAGTAGTTTTCGCATAATATTGCATGCAATATATGCAATTTTAAAAAATTACAAAAACAAGATTTTGTCAAAAACGGCTTCAAATGTTTTCTTCAAACTTTTGATAGGAATAGTGCTCAATGCACTCTAAGGGATGACATAAACGCCATATTTTTCTATTCTTTTGTTTTTTCAAAAATTACGAAAAATGTATTTTTTTACTTATTAAAGTGGCATTTTGTTTACATTATTACATTTATGAGTCATTGTGCTTTATATAATATCGTCTAAAGTTTGTCGAAAACTCAACTGTATTCTAGGGGAACCAGATCAAAATTTCGTAATTTCAGAAACGCTCAAACGCCATTTTCTCAAAAATGGCTCCAAATGTTCTCTTGAAACTTTTCGAAATAATAGTGCTAATAGCACTCTTTAATATGGGGTAAAGTTAATTTCGGGGTATTTTTTGAAAAATTACACAAATATAAGTTTTTTTTAAGATATCTCACACCAGTAATATGCAGATTGTTTTGTATACATTATTTTGTATACACTATTGTATTTGTGAGTTAAAGTGCTTCAAATTATATCAAACTTCATTTTTTTTTCGAAAATTAAAAAAAAAGTTCTGTGAAAAAGAGCTTCAAAACAAAATTTTTATTTAGAACGATGTTTTACTGTTTTTATTATTCATAAAATAATATTTCCGTTTAACAATTAGGAAACCTAAAAGTTAAGAAAATTTCAAAACAATGTACTTTGAGCGGCGATAGATGGCAGCTGGAAAGGAGTGGCAAGTAGCTAGCCGAGACCAAAGGAAATGGAAAACTAATACGGGAATGTGTTCCGTTGAGTAGCACTACTAGTTTCTTATTATTATTTATTTGAAATTATCTGTGTCCTATGTTATTATATTATTTATCCTGGATTTGAACTTATCTGTATACTTTTTATGTTTCAGGTACGATAATGAGTATGGATATTCCAACAGAATTGTTGATCTCGTCAAATACATACACAATGTTGAAAGAGGACCACCACAGTTTTAATGTTTTATAGAAAATATTGGCTGCCGAGATTTTTTTAATGTTTTTATACTATTATGACACTTTCTATAATAATATGATTTTTTTTGAAAAAATGTATTGTTTTCTTTCATGATCCAATTTGTCTTATATCCTCATTGCTATAGAATTCTCCTAGAATCACTTTTACTTTCTCCCCTTACTTTTTAAGAATAGAAAGTCAATCAATCGTACACCGGACGACGGCGAATATTCGACAGAAAACTTTTATTACCGAGCTCTAGTAACAAAATAGTTGGTAATTTTTCCCCCATATGTATGTAATTACTTTCTCTGACTCAATGTGTAAACAGACTACATTTTTTGTGGATCCTTGATACTGGAAAGACGATAGATGGCACAACGCCTGTCCGTACGTCTGTGGTCAAAGCTATCCAGGCTTGCACGGAATTTTGCACTTTCGCTGACCTTGGGTGCCGCGCACAAACCACTCGCGTGCAAATTCAGGAAACTAAGAAGGGTGGGGTGAGACCCATTCTAGGAGTAGGAACCAGCAATAAAAATGCGCAATTCGAACCGTAGCGCGTAAATTGTCATAGCAATCTGCGATTACATGACGGACTGTTACATATAGTTCACGTTATCACGTCATCCAGCGCGGGAAGATCAGCGCCACCTCCCGAGGAAAATATACACTACACTTACAGGTCTAATGACCTTAGCAGTTTACGCGCCCGGAATCACTAACAATCAATCAATCAATTAAGCCTAACAATACGGTCAAAGAGGTTTGCTCATAGGTAGCTCTTATTCAGATTCATAATGGGGGAAAGTGATCAGAAATATAATAAAAAAAGAAAAATATGTCGATACATAGGAGTGCAAAGAAGAAGATAAACAGTGAATTATGGTCCTTGTAGCTAGAAATACGAAACATTTCCAATTTAAATAAATATGCAAATTATTCACAGAATGGATCATTACATTAGGCACTCAGACATCAATCTACGGGCTGCATCACCCACCCACCCCTGTTCGCTGCTCTCCTCCCTGCAAAGCTGCCTACCCCACACCACTTGCACTTTCGCAGCTCTGGTGGGCAGCGGTTGGGCTTTTGAGTGCAGAATGCCCGCGGAAGCAGGTGTTGTACAGACTTGCCCTATAAGATGATTTTCTCCAATATTTCTAGTTCCTGATTGATCTCAACGAACTCAAGGCCTTGCAAGTTTGAAACTGATATTTTAATTTTGGGGGGTTCCTTGCAGTAAGCTTCAAATTTGCAAAATTGTTCCCAATTATTTGATTAATCTATGTCTTTGTAGAGCGTAAAGAACTTAAAGGACGCTTAAAAAGAGCAGGTTTCATTATCCTTAAACTCTGAATTTTCGAAAAAAGCAAAAGTTAGAAATAATTGGAGAACGTGTGTGATATTTTAGAACTACTAGTGTGTTTTTCTTCCTAATAGAAATAGAAAGACAATAAACATATTTTGTAATCTAGAAGAAGCAGATCTATTATTTTATTTTCATTGTGATTAAAATGTGACTTTAATATTTCAGGTATTAAAACCATCACTTTTTTTCAACTTTTTCAAGCACAGATTCACTTATTATTTTTATGGTTTTGAATAAAGGAGGTTATAATATGGAGGTAGCTTTGCCGACTTTTCCCATTATGGAAAATGAAGCCAGCCCCTTGCAGCTTGGTTAGGCCACCCGCTGTACAATTTGACTAACTAGCCTAAAATCCTTTTCACTCTTGTATTATATTTATTCACGTATTGATCTTTCCGTAATGACGAATTGTAATTAATTGACAGAAGTACTAAAAAAGAAACAGATCTGGGAAATATATTGGTGTCAAGTGGCAGAGGAATTTTTTTTTTTTAATTTGATTTATTGTGTGGAGCTGAATGCAATTTAATTTATGCGCTTAATGACACGTATTCTTGGAACAGAATTGTACATTTTACTTCGTGTTAGTGAGAAGCTGTAAAATATATAAAAAAAGGAGGAAAACAAAGACCATTCAGAATGTGTTGCATTCAACATGCAAGGAGCTGAAACTAATATCACACAAACTGGTATTGTGAAAACTACTAATCATGTTCCAAATTTGATGTGAATAACAAAGTAATTAATAGTTGGTCTATTCTGGAGGAGCATGACAAATGAAAAGTTCTGCAAGGAAATTGTAACAAATTACTGGAGCAAATCCAATAAGATTTCACTCCAATTAATTGCCCTGAATAGAAGTGTTCAGGGTATTAATAATGGAACTGAGGAGAAAGTCATAGACAAGAATAAAATTATAAATCTACTCAAATTGAGTTCACCTGAAGCCAAACAATTTGAACATATTTCCAAAACAAATATTTTTATAATGCAAATTCAATATTCTACTAGAAAAAACAAAAAATGAGTAATTAATAAAAATAACATTTCTTACAGATCCAAGGAACAAGCAATTCAAGGAGGAGAAAAAATTGATTTTTGTTTTCATTTGTAATGTAATCAAATAATACAAAGTATGTTTTCAGATGAACGATTTTATTTATTTCAATTTTTACATTTGTGACATTACTATTGGGTAAAAGCAAAATAATATTAAAAAAAAGGTTAATTTTTACTTTCTAGCCCTTACTTTATGAGAAAACGGTATTGTAATTGTGTGCCAGAAAACTGAATTTTCGATAGAAAATCTCTTATTGCCAGTCCCTGCATCAAAAAAGTGGATAAGTCTTGTTTCTATTTATAGCTGAATGTTGAAAAGGATGCTTAAATGAATAGTGCAAATCTCATTACCATTGAAAATTGCATATGTACTAAATTGTTTTTGAAGTCTTCCTACACTTACAATGTTGAGAAGATTAAGACCCAACATTCCACAACCCAACACAACATTTAATACATATTTTTTTAAATAACATGGTATGATATAAATTTGTTTTGTATCACTACTGCACTCAGAAGAATTGCTATTTGATCAGTTTTTGCTCTTTTCATTTGTATCTGGGCATGAACTTGTGTTGTATTCGTAGGCTTCCACGGCCGGAGTTATTGGGTACTTGTCTGTCCGGGGTGGCCAGCGTCTCCACTATCCAGTCGATCGCACTGATGTTTTGGCCAGTGTTGTGGCTGAACTATGATTTTGAAACTTTAATAATAATAATAATAATAATAATAATAATAATAATAATAATAATAACAATAATAACAAATATAATAATAATTATTATTATAACAATAACAGCAACAATAACAAGAATGATAACAATAACAATATTAATATTAGTACATATCAATCATGGTAACAACTACATATAATTTAGCAATATTAGTACATTCTATATTTAAAACTTGAAATTGTGAGGAGTAGGAGGCAGGTTTTGGCCATTTTTTTTTCTTTCTTTTTTTACACCTAGTCGACAGCAGCACCTAATGCATCTAGCAAATCCAGGATGAAGGAAATAGAAATTTGGGTCAAGCATTCTCCTTCTACATTGGACCAACTGGAATTTACATAGGCAGGACAGGATATGCCACTTCTTTTTCCTTTGCTTCAGCTCAAAACAGTCAAATGGAAAGTCAAATGGAATAAGAATTTTTATTTATTTATATTTTTTTAAGGGAAGTATTATTGTAATTTGAGTATTTTTCATACTGTAAAACATGTTGTTAAGCAGGAAAGCTTTCAATTTACTTTTAAATGAATGAATTATGTTTATGTCTTTAATATAATTCCCCAGTTCGTTGTAAAGTGTAATGCTCTCTATTAGGGTACTATATTTTTGATAAAGTGTAGTTTTGTAGTAAGGAACATGTAGGTTATCCTTTTGATGAGTGTTGTAGTTGTAGTTAATTAAGTTCTGAGTGTACCTCAGAACTTAAAGTAAATGTGTCCTTTGTTGTCCATGAGTATCTCCTTTGCAAAGACCACTGTTTCAAATACATACGTGCATGGTAGTGGAAGAATCCTTATTTTATTGAACAAGGGGTTGCAAGACTCCAGCTTATGAGTGCTGGTCGTTGTTTACAGTATTCTTGTTTGGATAATAAATGTAAAAGTACTTTCAAGGAAATTTACCCAGAATATTATTCCATATCTTAGGTGTGAGTGCACATTTGCGAAGTACATTGTCTTAAGTGTGTCAGTGTTGGAGCTTGACCTGAGGGTGTGTAGGGCACAGTAAGATTTGGTGAGCGTCTTGTTAAGATTTGAGATGTGAGCATTTCATTTTAGGTTTTCTTGAATTGTTAAACCAAAGAAAATAGTTTTATAAGATATCGTTATAGGGTTATTATTTACAAGAAAATGCTGTGAGAATTTATGTTTGGATAACAAAAGCCATTATTTTTCTGTTATGGGATTAATTCTATGAGGGTCTTTTTCTTCTTTATTTAATTCTTTTATAATTTTATACACATTATCTTGCCTTCCATTTAAGTCATGTTCTAAATGTGCTATGTATCTTTCCCAGCTTTAGCGTTTAATTTCTCATGATTTGATTGCAGCATTGGTCAATATCTCTTTAATATTTCTCCATTTTTCATTTATGTTGTTACTAGTTGGTGTAGATTGTAATTTTATATTCAATCTTGTTTTTTAAAGCACTCTGATGCTTTGGTATTGAAGAAGGTGTACTTTGAAAGTTTCAATAGTATTTTCTTTTTTATTAGTAAGGTGTTTCCATCTTTTAGGTAGTTGTAATGTTGAGCTGATTAGGAAATGGACTGTTGATATATCGGACCCCTAAACACTCTTGTGTTGTTTATTAGAATCCAGGTTATTTTGTTTTCCAGTACATAATCTATAAGAGAAGCACTTCCTCTTGCAGTCCATGTATATTTATGGATATTTTAGTGTCTGTAAAATAGATTTGTTACTCTTAATTTGTTAAATACTGCAAATTCTATTAATGTATGTTCATTTTTATTTAAAATGT